CGATTGCTTGACCCCAGGAGTTCGAGATCAGTCTGGGCAACACAGTGAGAACTCGTCTCTACAAAAAAATCAAAGAGTTAGCCCTGCGTGGTGACATGCACCTGTAGTCTCAGCTCCTTGGAAAGCTAAAGTGAGAAGATTGCCTGGGTCCAGGAAGTTGAGGCTGCAGTGACTCATGGCCGTGCCACTGCACTCCAGCCTGGGCAACAGAGTAAGACCTCAACTCAAAAAAAAAAAAAAAAAAAGTTTCTTTCTCCTAAACCATGAAATAACATTTCCCCATTGTTGGACTAATTTCTTTTTTTTTTTTTTTTTTTTTTTTGACTGTTTATAAACATTTGGAATTTTATTTAAAAAAAAAAAACATCACAACCATAAACATTGTTACAGTTAGAGGCCCTCTTGGTTCTCCACAATGATACTGAGCATGCTCACAAGGGGTTCCCATTGTTAAGTCTTAGTTAAACAACCATCTTTAAAAGAAGGAAAAAAAAACTCAGCACACTACCATTTAACTTGTTTTAATGTTTCTTCACAAATGGTGAAAAATACTAAAGTACAGACAAGGAATAATCATAATGTTGTGGCCAACATTATAAATATGGAATTATAAATTTAAAACATTTTCTGGTTTAAAAAATAAATCTGGTAGTCAATGCAGCTCTGTGGGTCTCTGCGTCTAGTAGGGCCGGTCTCTGCGCTCCTGACGGTGCTCGCCTTTATCCATTTTCCCAGGTCCTCCGCGTCCACCTCTTCTTCCTCCCATTTGTTCCATCAAAGGTCCAGGGGGTCCCCCAGGGCCACCTCGTCTTCCTCCACCGAAGCCACCTCGGTCCATGCCCCGGCCGCCTCGGAAGCCACCTCTGTCTCCACCACGGCCACCTCTGAACATTCCACCGGGACCTCCGCGGTCCATGAGGCCACCTCTTCCTCCCCGCATGCCGCCAGGCCCACCTCTGCCACGATCACCACCCGGGGGTGGGAAGGGCGGCGGGAGGAAGCCTTCAGGCTTCGGGGCCTTACACTGGTTGCATTCTGTTCTCCAGGCGAAGTTCTGGTTTCCACAACCCGGATTGGGACACTGCCAGTCTCCAGCCCGGTGTTGGACATTGCCGCCTCCAGAAGGGTTTCCTCGGGAGCCCCGGGGCCCTCTTGGAGGGAAACCTCCTCTGTCTCCTCCACGGCCTCCCATGCGACCCATGGGTCCCCCAGGACCGCCTGGACCCCCTGGACCTGCAACAAGAAACAGCCAATCACTTCTCTGCGGCATTAGATTTACTATAGAGAAGGAAATAAAACACTCTGTAAGTCCACAGATGTCACTGTCATCATTTCGCCATCATCTAGACCGCTCAGGCATTAGCTCTTCCTAACAACTCCCAGGCCTGCTAGAGCCCATCCCAGTGCGTCGTCTT